TGGTCATTATAGCGGACAACACGTGACCAACACATGGATCAGTCAAGTGGTGATCAATTCAAACACAAAAGGGTTTGTTTTCATTACAATTAACGTGTGATTATCGGTGTTATTGAATGATAAATAGATAGCAATTACATGTGAATCAGTATTTCATTGTTATCTGTTTTTAGGCAATGATGTCGACGAATGACATGAATGGCACTCATGAGGAATATCCGAAAGACTCGTTGGACAGATTCGGTGATGACTTGTGTGGACTCGTGTTGTCTTATCTGTCACTGAAAGACAGCTTCAGATATGAATGTCTGTCCAAACAGTGGCGGAGAAGTATTCATCGGAAGAGACATAATCTTGTGATGAACTCATGTTTGCCAAAGACTGATCACTACATTGATGTCGAGCGCATGGATTCGCAGATATTTTCATCAGTGGTTAAGAAGTTACCAAACATTACACGCATTGAGATAACAGTGAAATCGGAAGCAACGGAACGGGTGTTTGAAGTACTCATGAAGTCATACAAACACTTGAAGACAATTAAAGTCTGGTTTTGTGGGAGAAATGACACCCAAATAGCGAACCGACTGTTTGAGACATACGGCTCACGAATGACTCAAATACTGGTGCCATCGACACCCGTATTAAAAGTGTTTAAGCGGTACACCAATTACACTAAATTGACACAACTGTCCTCATATGGAGGCGCGCTCTTGGAGTTGAGGGATATATTCAATGATAACAACGAGTTGTTGTTTAAGGGTTTGACTGCATTTCAATGCAATTATACCCCAAATGACAACAATTTGAAACTCTTGTCGACATTTGTGTCACACTATAAGAACAGCTTAAAGACATTGGATATAAGCATTTATAACCTGTTGAGCGATCATTATATCCAATCATTGAAAGTGTTGTCTGAATTGAAAGCATTGCGTGGATTGACATTCCGTACAAACCTTTTTAAGACCAATCACTATCTAATCGACTATCACTGCCAAGAGTTTGTCAATCAATGGCCACAACTCAAGAGATATCAATTGATTATAACTATCCAATCGGTACCTCAGTTGAGACTATTGTTAGAGTCGTTTAATCGTAAGAAAGGCTTAAGACATTTGAGCCTATTATTGAGACTCGAATACTGGATCATCTCATCTGAAAAGTGTTGGGATTTGTCGCTCAACTCATTGTCCGGATTGAAACGATTACAGCATTTGGACATTGATTTCGATAGTGTAGTCGTAAACCCGGGGTTTTTCTATGCTATCGACACATATTTGCCACGACTTATGACATTGAGATTTGTCTCCATGACTGAGATGAGCGCCGGTATCAAGGAATCGGTGGAACGGCTGCCAAAATTGGTTTCATTTAATTTTGAGCAAAACTATCCCCAAACTGCTTGAATATTTCGCATTCAATAACTCATAATAAACTGTATTATAAAGTGTTTTCTTATCAAATTGAATAAAAGTTATTTCTTAAAAATAATTTTCTCGCGATCTTTAAGTTTTAAATATAATTTTAATGTAAAATATTAGTAATTGAAATATTTTATAATAGTTTAGTTTAGATTCATTTAATCAAATTGCAACAGAATTTAAGTATTTCCTTGTTTAAAATGTTTCAATGTTTTCAGTTTTTTACTTCCTAAACATAATACAATCTGTAAATAATTAAATACTGATAAAAGTTTCCAAAATACCTACACCTTGTGATTCTGGTCCTATCAGTAGCCAATGGTCAGTGGTCAGTGGCAAGACCTGCTTAACAGGTAGTAAATCAACATATTTTTGAAACTTTTATTCACATAAACACGTGGCCAACACATTGATCACACATTCGTCCACCAAATCACAGCATAAGAGGTTTGTTTCACACAATCACTAATTTACTGATCATTTCATAAGAAATATTATATTTGTATCTCTTTTTAGGCAAAGATGTCATCCAATGGTCAGAGCATTAGTGGAGAAAAATACGCGAAGGACTCGATCGACAGATATGGCGATGACTTGTGTGGACTCGTGTTGTCTTATCTGTCCTTCAAAGAGAACTTCCAATATGAATGTCTGTCCAAACAATGGCGAAAAAGTATTCATCGGAAACAACACATACTTGTGGTGAACACATTTCCATCCGGTCACTCGAAGCACCACTACCTCGAAGTGGATCGCATGGTGGGTCCCAAGGAAGAAGACCGCATGGATCTCCCGGCAGTGAAGTCAGTGGTCAAGAAGTTACCAAACATTACATCCCTTGAGATAACAGTGATATTGGAAACAACGGAACGGGTGTTTGAAGTACTTATGAAGTCATACAAACACTTGAAGACAATTCACGTCAGACTTCACTTGAGAAACCTCACACCGGACTCAAACTATACACTCCACTATACTGTAGCGGACATACGGCTCACGAATGACGCAAATAGACATTCCGAGGTATTTGGTGCCTGTGTTGACACGATATATCAATTCATACGCCAAACTCACACAACTGTCTTATTGCGGTCGCATTCACTTAAAGTTAAATGATTTATTCAATGGTAACCACAAGTTGGTGGTCAAGGGTTTGACTGGATTTGAGTGCAGTTATTATGACTCTGAAGACACTTTGGATTGCTTGTCGGCATTTGTCGATCACTATAAGAACCGCTTAAAGACATTGAATGTGAAGTTACCGCACAGCGAGAGATGTATAGATATTATGAGACTGTTGTGTGAATTGAAAGTGTTGTCGACTATCACTGCAACGAGTTTTTCTATCAATGGCCACAACTCCAGAGATATGAATTGGAGATCACGTACACAACGGTTCCTGCGTTGAGACGAGTGTTTGAGTCCGTGAATGGTATGAAAGGATTACGACGACTGCGACTAATATTCAGACTTGTGTTCAGGACCAGTAGAATAGTCTGTGATTTGTCGCTAAACTCATTGTCGGGTTTGAAACGATTACAGCATTTGGACATTGATTTCGACGACTTACTCATAAGCGAGAGCTTCTTCGAGTATATCCACATATATTTGCCACGACTTAAGACATTGAGATTCAGAGCTCAACTCGAGATGAGCGCCGGTGTTAAGGAATCGCTGGAAAGGCTCCCAAAACTAGAATTGTTTGAATTTTCTAATGATAAACATAAGCCATACCAGATAATAGTCATTCCACACACATATTGATTTGTTTGGACATTTGATTCATTAAAATTGATTATATTATAAATTATAACTATGCTTGTAATTTGAAATTATTATTTTCATGCAATTTTTCGAGTACCGGTATAATTTTATGCCGGTAGATATCGTATTAATATTATGTTGTATTTTTATGTGTTTTCAGTGAATTTCTCTATCCTTGACTTACTTGTAATGCTTATATGAAATAATAACCTGTATTCATCTTAAATATAAATTTAAAACTTGTTATTATGCAATACAGTACGATATGTGATGATGTCATACTTGACATACTTGTGGTGTTTGTTGAACTTCAAATAAAAAGTGTGTTGAACTTCAAAAGTAGTTCACAATAAGAGTTATGATTTTTATGTAATACGTGGAGTCAACCATTTGTTTGTACGTGGATTTAGTTGGATTTTATTTATAATATTTGTGACCAATTATTAATTACACATTAGAGTACAGGTACAGTATATTTAAAAAGTATTTTATACCAAAAAATACCACAAAATATGAATTTACATATTGACCATCAAATGGCATCTAAAAGGGTATTACCATATTTTATTTGACCATTTTTCAAATATTTATAATTTTATTGTGTATACTGTACTGTACTATAGGAAAGGATATCATCGAGTGATATGAATGTGACTCCAGAAATATATTATTCAAAGGACTCGTTGGACAGATTTGGTGATGACTTATACGAAGAGTTATTGTCTTATCTATCGTTTAAAGACAGCTTCAGATATGAATGTGTTTCCAAACAGTGGCAGAGATCTGTGTTTAAGAGAAGACTTACCCTCGATGTCAATGATATAGTGGTCATAAAGTATAAAACAGGAAATAATAAGCAGTTAACAGCTTATAGATGGGATGCGTTAGTATCAGTGATCAGGAAGTGTCCTAAAGTTACAGCCATTCATATTAAGATAAATTCAGAAGCCATGGAAAATATATTTGAATTATTAATGAATGCATACAAACACTCATTGAGTGAAATTCACGTCAGTTTTGAAGATAAAATTTATTTAAAAACAATGGACAGAATTCTCGGCAAATATGGCTCACAATTGACTTCAATATCACTCAAAACGGGTTATGAAGTGTTTAGAAGACACTCAAAGTCTTATACAAGACTCAGAAAAATATCCGGTTCTTCAGGGATATTACCAGCGATTGTCACCGAAAACAATGAGATATTAGTCAAGAATTTGACTCATTTTCAATCCTTTTACAACTCGTCTGATTGGCAACGATTGCAAGCATTTGTTGATTACTATAAAAATAGCTTAAAGTATCTCCAAATCAACTCTCCTTTTGGCGAAATGTCAGCCGAAGAATATATTCGTGTTATGAAACTATTGCCACAATTGAAAGCATTACGAGAGCTGGGGATTCAAATGATAAATATAGATAACTTGGATACTATTCAGACTATCGTTGACTATCACTGCAAAGAATTTGTCAATCAATGGCCACAACTCAGGCGTTACCGAAACTTTATAAGATGTGGAAATAAGACAAATGTGAAACTCATATATGAATCGGTGTATCGTATGAAACAATTACAAAGACTTAATTTAGTGCTCATTTCACCGCTGATGACAGACAATGAAGAGTCTGGAGTTGAGTTGACACCACAATCATTGTCACCATTGAAACGCTTAACTCATTTGTCGTTAAACTTTATGTTTTGTGTATTAAATGAGACATTCTTTGACTCAATTCACACATATTTACCACACATTCAAAAGTTTGAAATCAAGACTAAATTAAAATCGATTGGTGAGCACTGGTATTAAGTCATCGATCAAAACTACAAAAACTTTAATGTTTAAAGTTAAGCAAACTTATGTATAAAATAAGCTTGCTACCTAATGGATTAAAAAATATCGGGTATTTCTACTAACATATTAGAAATGTAATCATTTTTAGTATCAAAAATTAAATTACTCTTATTTGGTGGACACCTCCTGTTCCCTATCACCGATGCCCTCGACTGCAGTCATAGTTGTGGTAATCCTATCACCACTACTGGTATTTGTCCACAACTTTGACGACAATCACTCATTCTTGTGGTGATGTATTGGTTATAAAGTTTTACAAACTTTTACTTAGTTTTGTATTTTATTACTATTTTATAACTATTTTACAATATATTATAAAGTATCGCTTGTTATGAGTAAAGTCTAAACTTTTAAATAAATTAAACCGAGTTATTGAATGCATTGAATTAGTAAATGATACTAAAAATGAAAGTTATATTGAATTTCACAACTAATTCATGTATAATGTATAACTTTTAATGTGCGTAATTAAATTTATAGTTTGAATATTTGTTGCGAAATTTATATTATATTTCTATGTTGTAAATAATACAGTAAGTGATTATAACTTATAATTTTAAAGCTAGGTTATGGGTTTAAAATGACTTTTTCAAAAAGACTTTTTCCCGGTTTATAAGTTTGAATGAATGTGTAATGAACTCAAGTCTGTGCGTCGACTCAATAAACTCTGTTTACAATCCATTCATTCATAAGTCATTGCTTTCATTAGAGTTTCACATATTTACTGCTAATTCACGTAATAATCAATTGATTTGATTATTGGATGACTTGTCGCGTGTATTGAGTGTTCATTATATGCCATAACACGTGACCAACACATGGACTGCATATTAGGTCCACAAATGTCTGCAAAAAAGGTTTGTTTTACTCATTAAGACATCATTACTACTGTTGTGACAAAACTTACATTCAATTAGTTTTACAAATATTTGTATTGTTTTCGTGTTTCAGACAAAAATGTCGACGAATGACACGAATGGCACTCATGAGGAATATCCAAAGGACTCGTTTGAGAGATTGGGCGATGACTTGTGTGGACTCGTATTGTCTTATCTGTCACTGAAAGACAGCTTCAGATATGAATGTCTGTCCAAACAGTGGCGAAGAAGTGTTCATCAGAAGAGACGTAATCTTGTGCTGAAGACAACAGTGTGGCGGAGAGTCTTCAGCACAGAGACCCACAGGGATAACCATCTCGATGTCGACCGTATGAATAGCAATGCTTTGATGTCAGTGATCAGGAAATTACCAAACATTACATCCATTGATATTGAGATCAGTTCAGAAGCGACTGAAAAAGTGTTTGAAGTACTCATCCATTCATACAAACACTCATTGACTGCAATTGACGTCAGATTTTGTGTGATGTTTGAGGACCCGATAGCGGACAGACTGTTGCGGACATACGGCTCACTAATGACTGAAATATGGATATTGAGTTTCGCTGAAAACGTGTTCAAACGGTACACCAATTCGTATACAAAACTCACACAACTGTCCACTGCCCACTGCATGGGTTACAGTTATGGTCACTTACAGTTGAGGCATATATTCAATGAAAGCAATGCCCTATTGGTTAAGAGTTTGACTGGATTTATATGCTCTTATAACTTGATGTACCATGATCAAATACAACACTTGCGCACATTTGTCGATCACTATAAGAACAGCTTAAAGAGATTGCATATAAAATTGGAGTATCTGGATAACCAAACATTTGTGACTGTCATGAGACTATTGTCCAAATTGAAAGCATTGCGCGAATTATCTATTAACACGACTAATATCAATAACCCCGGTGTCAATGCAATGGACTATTACTGCAAACAAGTGGTCAATTGGTGGCCACAACTCAAGAGATATAGTTTGCTCTTAAAGTACCAAAAGGCGGCTAACTTTAGGCCACTGTTTGAGTCCGTGAGTCGTATGCGAGGGTTACGACGATTTCAGTTGCTTTTTATGTCGTCCGACACCAAAGATCGTCGTATCTATGATTTGTCGCTCAACTCATTGTCCGGTTTTCAGCGATTACAGCACCTGGACATAGATGTCGGAGATTTAATGGTAAACGAGAGGTTCTTCGATGATATCCACAGACATGTGCCACGACTTCAGTCATTGAGATTCGTATCTAAACTCGAGATAAACGCCGGCATTGAGAAATCGGTGAAACGGCTGCCCAGACTTTGCTCGTTTACATTTAGTACATATAGGCGCCCAATTACCCGATTATAAATACGATTATAAACTGAGTAGGATGACAGTTAATTATCTGTAAGTTAAATATTGATAACACCATAATCAATATGAAAACCAACTCCAAAAACATTTATTCGGACGTACAAAAGGACTGATAATATAATTTATTTTAAAATCATAATGAAATTGTACTTTGTAATTTGTACATTATTTTTAGAAATTTATATTTAATTTTTATTTAAATACTGTAATAAGTTACTTACAACGAGATATTGTATTAGTATTTATATTAATTTATACTGTAAAAGCATCTTACAACACTTAACTCTATAAAAATGTAAGCCTGATAATTTTGAATGCAAGTGTTAAGGCATAATTAAATGAATGTATTTTGTATACAGTATAAGGGGATTTTTTGAACTTGAACCATTTTCCAATCATTAGAACCTTTATATTAAAACAAGACATTCATAAAACTAATAAATCCTTGATCATATTCTGATTATATTGACATATAATTATATTATAATGTACATTCGTTATACAGTATAACTTATACTCAGTATACGTATTATATTTAATATTAAAGTATTAATTGAAGACTTGGACTCAAGAAGTTGTGGTCAAATGTCTACAAAAAGGTATGTTATAGTGATTGTGTGTTCACTCTATACACCCTCTCATAATACATACCGTACAGTATTGCACCAAACTTACTGATTAAATGTTACAAACTGTTCAATGTACCTAAAATTGCTTTTAAACATACAATTAATATTAATTATAATATAAATTCAAAATACAGTACAAACAAGTTTTGCTATTAAAACTAAAATAAAAAGTTTTCAGAAATTTTTATTTATTCATTATTTACTAATAATAACGTCTTGTCAATGATATCCCCTTTAGTGATGAATACATGTATTAGTGATACAAACCCTCATATAATACTCACACGTATTGTCACATCATTTATGTCCACAAATCCAATGTTATGTTTGTTTACATTGAATGCAAACAATGTGTCAAATGTTGAGACAATTAGTTATTTGTCATTAAAATTAAGCATTTATTCAATGAATGACTTGATTATCATCACTACCTCTGCATATATTACACGTGAATATGGATTCCAGAAGTTGTGGTCATATGTCCGCAAAAGAGGTTAATTTTAGTGATTGTGTGTCCAATCAGTACAAGTTTACTATTGATTGCATTTATTTTTCATTTCAGACAAAGATGTCGACGAATGACACGAATGGCACTCAAGAGGAATATCCGAAGGACTCGTTCGACAGATTTGGTGATGACTTGTGTGGACTCGTATTGTCTTATCTCGAGTTTGAAGAGTGTTTCCGATATGAATGTCTTTCCAAACAGTGGCAGAGATGTGTATTCACGCGAAGACATTCCCTCTCAGTCTCGGCACCAGTACTGAAGAAGTTTCAATTGAGAGAAAATAATTCAATTGTCGCTAATAAGTGGACAATATTTGAATCAGTGGTCAAAAAGTGTCCAAACATTACATCCATTGATATGACTATTGATTCACAGGAGACGGCAATACTGTTTGAAATACTCATCAATTCATACAAACACTCATTGAATGCAATTGATGTCAGATTTAACTATAAAACTGATGCGAAAATAATGGACACAATTGTGTGTAAATATGGCTCACTATTGACGGCTATATTAGTGCCAAAATCGGGTCTAAAAGTGCTTAAATACCATTCTGCGTCAATGACAAAACTGACACAATTATCCTGCGTTTTGTTAGACAACATGTTGTCAGCGATTCTTACAGAAACAAATGAGTTTATTGTCAAGAATTTGACCAAAATTACCATTTATTACAATAAGACTGATTGGCAGCGATTGCAAGCATTTGTTGATTACTATAAGAATTCATTAAAGTCTGCAATTTCATTTCAGTTTCGGAACAATTGCTCCCGAAGAATATATTCGTGTTATGAAACTATTGCCACAATTGAAAGCATTACGAGAACTAGTTTTGGTTCAAACTTTTAGCGATAACGCGGATACTATTCAGTCTATAGTTGACTATCACTGCGACGAGTTTGTCAATCAATGGCCACAACTCAAGAGATATCGACTGCAGATGTGGTGTAAAACTGATGAACACGTTAAACAAATGTATGAATCGGTGAGTCGTATGAAAAGATTACGAAAACTGGAACTATCGCTGAGTACAACACCCGATGACAACAACCCCCACACTATTGAATTGACTCCGAAATCATTGGCTCCATTGAAACGGTTAACACACCTAAAGCTACAGTTCCCCAATGTTTTATTGAATGAGACATACTTGGACTCAATAGACAAACATTTACCGCACATCCAGACACTGGTAATCTGTACTCTACTAAACGAGCGCCGGTATTGAGGAATCAATCAAAAAGTTACCCGGACTCAAATATTGAAGTTTTTATTAGACTTACAGTCAAATATAATGCTCAATGAATGCAAATATGAAATCTTAAAACTTTTATACCATAAGTCTGTTAAAATTGATGTGTTTTAAATGATTAATAACTGAAATAAATAAATCTTTACTGTTCTTGAGGTTCATTTTGTGCACAAAAACTTTATGATAATTAACTAGTTTTTTATCACTCACTCTTTCAATATACAAAACGTATGTCGCATTGTCGCACACATGCACATGAATAACAATTACAAATTAATTGCCAATTCACGGTAATACAGTAATTTATCCTTGATACTATATTTGAATTTTATATCAATTTGAATTTTTGTACAAAAATTTTGAAGTGTCACAAAGTATTGGTAATAATTAACGTATCATTTATTACTGAAATGTTGTCCCATTTAGTGATGAATGCATGCATTAGTGATACAAACACTCATATAATACTCACACGTATTGTCACATCATTTATACACTTATTATCACATGTTTTGTGTGTTTACTAAATTTATTTCTGTCAACAAAACAATAAAATTTAATTTAATAATCACTGTATTTATAAATTGTATGATTATTATAGATGTAATGTTTGTGTTGATTATAACGAGTGTTCATTACTTGTATTTATATGTCATATAACTGTAAATAACTTAATATTGACAACACATGCACTGAAGCTGTGGTCAAGTGCTCACAAAAAGGGTTTGTTTTAGTTATTGAATTACACGACTGTCCACTCATTTAGACATTTGTTATATTATTTGCATTTTAGGTAATGATGTTAATGAATGACATGAATAGGACTCCAGAGGAATGTTACCCGAAGGACTCGTTTGAGAGATTGGGTGATGACTTGTGTGGACTCGTATTGTCTTATCTGTCATTTGAAGACTGTTTCCGATTTGAATGTCTGTCCAAACAGTGGAAGAGATCTGTATTCAAATCACAACACTTTCTGAATGTCCGGAAACTATTAAACAAATGGCAGAAAATCGGTGGTAATAGTCGTGAAGACATTAATTGGCAGATATTTGCATCAGTGGTGAGAAAGTGTGCAAACATTACATCCATTCGTATGAAGATCTCCACAGAAGTGACGGAAAGAGTGTTTGAAAAACTCATGAATTCCTACAAGAATTTGAACAAAATTCGTGTAAAATTTAGTTACGAATGTAATGCGAAAATAATGGACAGAATTCTCGGCAAATATGGCTCACAATTGACGGCTATTTCAGTGCCGACAACGGGTTATGAAGTGTTTAAACACCACTCAAAGACTTTCACAAAACTGAGACAATTCCCGGGTTATCGATATCTGTACCGCATTTCCGGCGACAATGAGTTGATAACTCTGTTCAACAATTTAACTCATTTTCACTTCATTTACGGCGACTCTGATTGGCAGCAATTGACAGCATTTGTTGATTACTATAGAAATAGTTTAAAGAGTTTTGCCTTTCATTTCAATACCTGTAATGTGATGACGGGTGAGGACTATATCCGTGTATTGGAAGTCATAACACAATTGAAAGCATTACGAGAGCTAAGGATTGAGATCCTGTTTGTCTCGAACACCACTACTATTAAGACTATCGTTGACTATCACTGCGAGG